GCCATTGTTAAGTCAAGAAGAAGGTTTAATCAGTATATACTGAAAAGGTAAAGAGTTATCTACTCTGTCGCCCAGAAGTTCTCCAGTATTTTAGTTACAAATCATTTTATATTATTTTATTTTTTTTGTGTGTGTGTGTGTGAGGAAGATCAGCCCTGATCTAACATCTGCCAATCCTCCTCTTTTTGCTGAGGAAGACTGGCCTTGGGCTAACATCCGTGCCCATCTTCCTCTACTTTATATGGGAGGCCGTCACAGCATGGCTTGACAAGCGGTGCATCAGCGCGTGCCTGGGATCCAAACCCGGAGCCGCCGCAGAGGAGCATGTGTACTTAACCACTACACCATGGGGCCGGCCCCTACAAATCATTTTAGAATAATAACAATGGTGGTAATGATAATGATCTAGGTAACTAGATTGAGTACTTACTAACCGCAGGACACTGGGCTAAGGGCTTCATGCACACTCTTATTTAAATCCTCTCAACCCTTCAGGGCAGGTACTGATAATATCCTTTGACCCAAGAGGAGACTGCGGCTCAGAGGAGTGACTGTAAGCTGCCAGAAGTTTCAGAGCATGGACTCCAGTTGACATCTGAGGCCAGAGACTATGTTCTTAACCCCTCAACCATTCACTGCCCATAAAGTCAGAGGGCCCTTCCGAAATCAGCTAGCCAACCTTCTACTCTGCAGAGTAATACCAAGTGCCTGATCTTTCCCCCCAAATCTGGCCATTTTCCAGTCTTCCCCAGGTCAGTGACTATCGCCACCTTCCACGTAGCTGCTCAAGCTGGAAATCCAGGACACTGATTCATATTCTCCCCCCCTCCCTGCCCAAATTCAACACAACTCCAAGACCTGCTGATTCTCCCTCTTCAACAGCAATTGTACCAATTCACATGTCTACATCTCCATCACCACCAGCCTTGTCCAACCCACCATCGCTCCAAATGTTGCAATAGCCTCCACCTTCCGCTCTGGTCCTTGTCCAATTTGCGTTCAGTATGGCTGAGTGATCTTTTAGAAACGCAAACACCACGCTGTCTGCTCAAAATCATGTGAATAAAGACTAAAGACTGGAATCCATAATGTGGCATGAGAGGCCCTGTGCACTGCCTGCCTAGGACCCCACCTCTCCCCACTGTCCCATCCACTTCCTCTCTGTCTGTGCTTCAGTCACACTGGATGTTAGGTTTTTGAAAGCTCTGTGCTCCCTCTGATCACAACTGCTATGCATGCTGTTCCCTCTGCCCAGAATTCTCTTCCTTTCCTCTTCACCTGGCTAACTTCTATTCATCCTTCAAATTGCAGCTCATTATCACTTCCTCAGAGAAGCTGAGACAGAGCAGGTTAGACTAGGTCAAACCACTCTCACAGAGCAATGCACCTCTCTTTTGAAACACTCACCACAATTGCAATGTAATCCTTATGAGTGTGACCACATGATTAATGGGCCATATATTTGGCTTAATTAGAAGCAAAATCTTTCTGAATGAGTGAACAGTCAGAGGAAGCTTGATGAAATGGTAATCATACATGCTTCGAGGTCAGGAACCTGAGTTCGAAGCCTGACTCTACTTACCTGCTGTGTGACCTTGCACAAAACACTTGAACTCCCTGATTCTCAGTTTTCTCATACATAAAACAAGGATGGTGCCAACACCCCCTTCCTTCCCGGGCTGTTGTTAGGGTTAAGTGAGGCAGAGAGGTGAAGACATCTAACTCCAAGCTCCTGCCACGTGGTAAGGAGTCAACCAGCATTTGTTGGAGACTTATAAATACAACAATATGGATCGATTTCCAAGAAATATTGTTGTGCAGAAAAGCAAATTGCAGGTGGTCAAAAGGTACAAACTTCCAGTGATGAGATTAACAAGTACTAGGGATGTAATGTACAGCATGATGGCTACAGCTAACACCACCAAATGGTATATTTGAAAGTTGTTAAGAGAGCAGATACAAAGAGTTCTCATCAGAAGGAAAAAAACACTTTTTTTCTTTTTCTTTTTTTTCTATCTATACGAGATGATGGATGTTCACTAAACTTATTGTAATCATTTCACACTATATGTAAGTCAAATCAGTACGCTGTATACCTTAAACTTACACAGTGCGGCATGTCAATTATATCTTAATAAAACTGGAAAAAAGAAAGCAAATTGCTCAGCAACACGTACAATATATATCATTTAAACGTCCATGAAACAATATTACAAAGTATGTATCTATAGAGAAAAAGGAGTGGAAAGTCTGTTTTAGGATTTGGAAAATCCAAATATAATATTGGGATGGGGTTTGAGAAAAAGCCTGAAGTGGAGATCGAAGTAAGAGGGCTTTGGCCTTATTGCCCTGAAAAGGACAAAATATTCATATATGTGTGCAATAAATAAATGTTGAATAGCTAAATAAGATGCATAAATCACGTCAGCCAACTCACTAAGCTATGAGCTTCGTCTTTCTAGCTAATAGTATAGCCCTCTGTGCCTAGAACTATGTTTGGATTAGCAGAAATACTCAATAGATACACATTAAATAAATGAAAAGATGTATCTTAAAGAACAAATAAAATCATAAAATGACATCAAAAGTGCTTTAAAAGTATTTAACAAATTAGGTCACCCAAGTAGTTCAAAATCTCTGAAATCTGTATAAGTTCTGGAAATGGATAGTGGTGATGGTTGCACCACATTGTGAATGTACTTAACGCCCCTAAATTGGACTCTTAAAATGGTGAAAATGGTAAACTTTATGTTATGTATATTTTACCACAACAAAAAAAAAGTGTTCATAAATGTCTTTCTTCCGAATGTAAAAAGTAAACTCAAGGTCTGAATTACCACAAATTATTTATTAATCATATTTCTCACTGTCACCTTGCCCTCTCCTCCAATGTAACAAATTTCTCCCCAACAGTGGTTGGAGCATCAGAATGGCTCAAGCATCTAGAAAGCAAGAAATTGGCATTACACCTTGGGCAGAAAAAGACTAGAACTGGCTTGATTACCAAGGCTCTGGTGGAGAGCAGAAATGTGATTGTCGGTGACAATGGCCATCAATGGAGCTGATGTTAAAACAGAGGGCAGGGAAGCCAGACCCCCACAGTTCTAACTGCAAAAACTGGAAATATGGGCAATCAGCCATAGCTTTAAGAACAGAACCATTCTGGCAAGTGTAAGGAGGTTTGGAAGAGGAGTCACAAGCTATAAATAAAAGCAGCGTTGAGTTAAAGAGATAATTAGATTGGTGAAAAGAAACACAGTGGAAAATTGAAAAGAATCCTTTCACTGACAATGACATCTTCAAATATATTTGCCATCTACAAAGAGAAAAATAAGAAGAATGGGATTCCTCTGATATGAGAAATTGGAGCAAGGCAGATTGGCTAAATAGCTCCCAATCCTTCTCTTTTTTTCCAAAGAAAGCAGCAAAATGGGGGGTGGATTAGGTTTGCTTTGTGCTAAGTGAGGAAAGAAAATGCTGATTACAACGAAAGCATTTGATAAGAGACCCAATACCATTGAAACAGACAAGCTATTACCACAAGAGAACTAAAATCTATGAAAAGTATTTTTAAACTAGGAACCCAATAACACTGGTAGTTTGATTTCATACGCTCACGTCTGCAAAAATATATGAATCAATTTTAACCTATCTAGATCTTCTAATTTAATAAAATCTCAATTTTAAATGAGATCAGAACATTAACAAAAACAAGCTGATATCTGATTTGCTTGCACTGGATTATCCAATATTTTTATTAAAGAGCAATGGGCTATCAAGGCAGCTGCAAGGTGCACCCTTCTTTAACTAATCCAGCACTGTTTAATCAAGTTTGCTTTGAAACAATCTTGAGACACCAAAGATGTCAGTACACAGATACAGAGGGTATGCAGTGTAACCAGATCAAGTGTAATATATTTTTCTTATAAATTGAATTCCAAACTATACTGTTAAGATCCAACAGTGGAGAAAATCTAAGTGTGAGCTGGAGAGAAGTGGGGTGACATGCACAGAAAAGGCAGGAGGCAGAGAGACATCTCATGGAAAGGGCACCTTGAGCCACTGAGCCCAGGAGCCAAGTTCTGTGATGCTGAGCAAATGGACACCAGCAAAAGACAACCGTGTCTCTGTTTGGTGGTTGAGTTTGTTTCTATTTTTCTTTATGGTTGGATTTTTCTGGAGGGAGAAGCAGGAAGGGAGAAAACACTAGATAAAGATGACTAAAATGTTTTCAGCCCCATTACCCCCCAAAAAACAAAAAAAACAAAAAGAGAAGAAAGAGAATTGTACATAATCTTTACACATCTTTTCTCAGACAGCAAAGGAAAACAATAATGCTCAATTTTAATTTGAGAGTACAATGTGGGTGGTCAAAACCTTGGCTATGGGGTCAGACGACCTGGATTATGGTCATGACTTCATCACTTGCTAGCTGTGTGATGTTGGATATGTTATGCGTACCCTTAGTGTCTCAGATTCTGCCTCTGCTGATGCAGATAATGATAGCGCCCATCACACGAGGGCAGGTGAAGATTTAATGAGTTCACGGGAAGCTCATGTTTCCATGAACCAGATGTGAGCCATGTGTGAGAGAGAAGGTTCTATCCAAGAGCACAACTTGGAAGGAAAAACAGCATCTCCATAGAAAGAGATGGAAGTGAGATCCTGCTTTCCTGAGGGCTGAGAAGAAGCTATAAGTGACAATGCAGAAATAGAGATGCAATTACTGTCGTCAAGAGAATTGCTGGTGAGAGAACTCCAGCAATTAAGGATGTCAATGTGTATGGGAATCTCCAAAGAAACCCCAAAAGCAACCATGAGTGAAAGAGCCTGCTTGAAACATCTGCCAATTCCAGAAAGTGCTGATACCAGCTCATGACAGTTCCAGTCAAGTAAACACGTCTATGTCCCCTTTCCTCTCCCCCTTGGCCCTCTCCAACCCTGGAGAAGGCAGAAACTGTGGTCAGTAGGTGAGGTAGGAGATAGAGAGAAGTCGGTCTCCTCCCTTCCATGACAGCAAGCTGCCCTGTATGTAGCAAACCCCAGAGACTAAGTTCAAAGTTTTGGAAATTGCACTGGACTGACTATTTTAATTACTGATGTGCAACTGAGTTTTGCAATTTACAGGGGCTGTAGGACCTTCTGTTACTGAATAGGTACCAGAAAGTCAGTAGGGCCTTCCCCAATTTTCATCCAGAGGCAGCAACAGAACCAGCCCCAATGAGTAAATCTATAGAGACAACAGAAGACAAAAACAAAGTTACTTTAGGATTACATCACACAAATCATGCTCACTTAACATAATGGTTAAATGTTTAAGGTGCCTAGTGATTATTAAAAGTGATTGTGTCCATTGGGAATTTAGTGAGTCCCAGAGACTGTGCTCAACACTTTACAAGCAACATCTCATTTAATCTTCACAACAACCCTGTGAGGTGGGCACTGTCACCATCCCCACTTTACAGATGACAGAAAACTGATAACTTGCCCAAGGTCATGCAAGTTAGTGGCAGAGCTGGGATTTCAAGCCACTATGCCAATTCTTTGCTTCTCCTCCTTCTCTTGGGATGACTTAAATAATAAACTAAAAATAATAATTATCATTTATTTAGGGCTTACCCTCTGATTTACATGGATAAGCTCAAATTACTCTCCACAAGAGCCCCCTATGATTGCCCCCACTTTACCGATGCAGAAACCGAGGTAGAGAGAGTGAAAGCTAGACTGGGATTTGAACCCAGGCAGTTGGGCTCTACAGACCATGCTCTGAACCAGTGTAACCCACTGCCTCTCTGAAAGTACTTTATAAACTATAAAGTGCTACATGAATGTCAAAAGGGACCATGGATACTATTACTATAGCTTGGCCATATAGAAGGGGCGGGACTGGGACTGCCCTACAGTAACAGGGAGGGCATGTTAGGCAGAGGCCCAGAGGCAGCAGTGAGCGTGGCACGTTCTAGCAGCAGAGAGGCCAGGAAGCCCTCTCACAGAGGAACTCATTCACAGGGGCAGCCAGGAAAGTGAATCGAGTAGAGAACACACAATAAATCCGTGAAACAGCCGCTCGCGCCCATGTGCCCACTTGCCTCCTAGGACACTCTCATCACTCACGTTAAGAAGAAACAGAGCAATAACCAACCCGAGGACCTCGGAATGAAATCAGTGGAAATGGACTCCTCCTCTGGCGATGCCAGAGCCATAAATTTGCAACTCGCCAAGATGCCACGCCGGCTCTGACACACAGGCGCCGTACATCTTCCTCTGACCCACCAGGAATGCTCCTTCTTGTAAACAGCGGTGGGTGGTGGTGTCGTTCTGATTGGTTTCACCCTCCTGGTTCTCTGCCTGACTTCACGGAGTGAATTGAAAATGAGTTAGCTTGGCGGAAAAAGAATCTGTGCTCCTCTCTGAAGACCAATCCAGACTTGAATGTGCCTGTTCTGAGAAGCTCAGGAAAAGTGGGTTTTGTTCAGAATATCTGAAAAGTGGTCTGCAGCACAAGAAATATTTTTTCTCATGTGAGGGACACTTTTAAGGTCAGATGATCATCTGACCAGCGTCCAGCACAGTCCATGCCTGTCAATAGTGAGCAACTAGTAAATATTAGTTTAAAGCTGGTTGGTTGATGGAATGAATGAATGAATGAATGAATGAAATGATCGGTACAGAGGAAAGAATATAGACTTTGAGATCAGGCTCACTTAGGCTTGGCTCCTGCTCAATGGCCAACTTCCTGTGTGACTTTGACCAAGCCACTTAACCTCTCTGATCCTGTTAATTCATTTGTAAAAGGAGATAATAGTAGCTACAGTGATAGATTTCTGTTCGGTTTTGTTTTGTTTCCTTCCAGCCTCCATTTATTTTACTTCCAGTAACACCCTGATTTTGGTTTGGTGACCTACCCCTCTCCCATCCTGGGTACCATGGTCATTTGTGTGGATCTAACTCCGCCCACAGCTCCAGCAGTAAACTATAACTTTATCCCAGGCCAAACAGTGTGTTGCATTCCTATGGACAAAGCAACACATCAGGGGCAGGACCATGGCTCAAGTCAGGCCAGTCACAGCTGTATATTAGTCAGGGTTCTCCAGAGAAACAGAACAAAAGGGGAGATAAAAAGATAGTTAGATAGATGATAGATAGATAGATAGATAGATAGATAGATAGATAGATAGATAGATAGATACAGACACAGATACAGACATAGACAATATAGAGATATATAGACAGAGATATACATATAGACATAGACATACAGATGATATAGAGAGGTACATAGATACAGATATATTTAACTGATTGGATGAGGCCAACCCACATTGCGGAGGATAATCTGCTTTACTCAAAATCTACTAATTTAAATATTAATCACATCTAAAAAAATACCTTCCCAGCAACATCTAGACTGGTGTTTGACCAACAAGTGGGCACCGTAGCCTAGCCAAGCTGACACACAAAATTAACCATCACAACAGCCAATAAGATTCGATCTCAACTCTTGTTGGAGCTGTAAGAGAAGCAGACCTTCTCTCCTTTCTGCTATACTTGAGCCTGAAAGAATGTGCTGGTAGAAGATTCAGGGCGGGAGGTAAGAGGCTCAAAGGGCAGCATGAGGCCAGGCAGTGGGGAGTTTCCACCTCAGCAACCCAGTCGGCCCACGCAGAGCTGACAGCCTCAGGAGGAGCTGTCCCAAACTTCATGGCCTACATCCCTGGAGATCGTCTGTGAGGCCAAGAAGTTCTGAAATGGTGTACAAGACGTGTCAGATGCACGCAATCTAGATTTTCAAATCATCTAGATTTTATGAAAATATATGTCAATATTTATATATATATTAAACTTATATACAACATAAATATATATTTTTCTATGTTTGTATATATGTGTGTGTATCTTATATTTTTTAAAAAATCAAATAGCCTAAAAACATCTATTGAAAAATAAGTCTCCTCCCCACCCATGACCTGCAGTCCACTGGCCCCACCTAAGACTTACACACTGTTTCCTACGTCTTACTTACCCTCCAGGACTATCCCAAGCACACTCAAGTGTGTGTATGTACGTATCTCTTTCTACACAAATGGAAACACACTATACACAGTGTGCTTTGTTTTAATTATTTTCCCTTAAAATATACCTAGGAAATCATGCCATATTGGCATAACGTAGGTCTACACAATTTCTTTTCAGGGCTGCACATTTCCTAACTCCCTCCATCAATGACATTTAGGTTTTGTCCATGTAGCCCCTGGATGATTTTATATACATATCACTCAATATGTATTTATATTTTATATATTTCAATATACATTTCATATAGTTTATATTATGTATTATAAAATATTATATATTACAACATAATAGTATACTATACTGTTTATATGAAATTTTTAGAGAAGAGAACGCAGAAAGTGAAAAAAAAGCAAATTATTTTCTAAGGAAGTGAAATGACTCAGGAAACTCATGTATCCCTTGATGGACAGTTTGATGAAGACCCAGGACTAATGGGTGCAGCCTTCTTTGCTAGGTTTTATTATATTAAGATGATCGGCAATGATGAATTGTTTCCTGATGGTTCGGTGGAACAGTCTATCTTTGGGGAAAGCACTTGGCCTTCAAAGCCCGCAACCATGGGTTGGACTCCTTGTTCTGCCATGTACTGGCTGGGTGACTTAATCCCTTGGAACCTCTGTTATCTCATCTGTAAAATGGAGACGATGCTCCATACGGTTGTGTGAGGATGAAATGAGGAAACATACACGCAGTACTGAGCCCAGTGTTACCAACTCAAAATCAGTCCCCTCTTACAATCTTTCCACCCCTCTTAGGGGCTCTTCTTTTCAGAATGCACATCTGTTTAGCCAGTGTGGCTGAACGAGGGGGCGGCAAGGTCAGAGAAAAGACTTGTACTGGCTCTTCTCTATAATGCCAAGAAATGTTCGAGTTTCCATTAGGTAGCTCTGCAATGTGCGTCCTGCCCTCCAGACCTCCCTCCCACGTCCCAGAACTGTGCTAGCCCCTGGGAACTCACAAATGAATAAGGCCTCAAGGATTTCCAAGAGAAGTAAAACAAACACAAGAAAAACAATCAGTGATGACTATAACATGTAGTGATCACCACTACAGGAGTTTACACAGAATGTGTTGAGGGCAGAGGAAGAAAGTCTGGGAGAGTTACAGGAGGAGGATGCCCCAGCCCTGGATTTCACAGGAGAGTGTTGGTGATGGGAGAGAGAAGGGTGTCTTCACCAACTTGGAACACCACTGTCCGATGCGCCACACTCTCTCATGCGGATTACTGGAGTGCTCTCTAACTGATCTCTCTGTTTCCTCCCTTAGCCCACACAGTTGATTCTCAAAACAAGAGCCACAGTGATGCTATTAAGACATGAAGTCAATCTCGTTTCTCTACTGAAAACTCTATGTCTTCCCACCTCACTCAGAATAAAAGTCAGAGTCTTTACAATGATCTTCCATTTCCTACATGATCTGCCTCCTTGATGTTCCTCAAACCCAGCAGGCATTCTTCCACCTCAGGGCCTTTGCACCAGCTGTTTTCTCTTCCAGGAATGCTCTTCCCCCAAATATCTACAAGGCTTATTCTTTCACCTCCATTTTTCTACACAGTGCTCTCATCTTCCATCATGGTATTTCATTTAGTTATGCAGTCAATGTATAAGCTATATATTGTTGTGCTTTCTGCTGTATCCCCAATGCCTAGAGCTGTGCCTGACACATAGAAGGTAAACAATAAATATTTTCTGGAAAAAAAATGAGCGATTACTGAATCCTGGCAAAGCTATGGAAGTATGAAGGATACTGGCAGGTTTTGAGGAATGCAGAAGATTAGAGAAACAAACAAAACAGACAAAGTGGGGACAGGGAATGTTAATTCTAAGGTTGTGTCAGTTACAACACGAGTTCACTCGTCAATGCAGACAGGCTCACGTGCTCAAGTCCAGAGAGAATCCCCACCTACATATCGGAGGGGCATCAGAGACACCTAATGCACTTCAGAGAGGAAGCACTAGAGGAAGGGGCATAGGATGGCACTGATCAGGAGGGACGTGGATTAAAATAAGGAGGCAGTGTTGACTAAGCAAGACCCAAGGAAAAATGCACCTTGTAATGAGGACATGCATATTTGGGGATTTTTTGTTATATTTTGTTGTTAAAAATAGAATGCATTGAATCAGTAGAACTAGACAAACATGACTTAGTCAGCAAGAACATGTCTTGGTCACCAAGACGTGCAGAGACTCAGGAATGATACAGAGGGAGGGGTTTTAGAGTCGAGACATTCTCATGACCACGAGAGAGTTGTGGCCTCAAGAAAGAGCTGAAGAACACGGGGACGGGACTTGAGACAAGAGGGAATGCATTGTGTGCAACTGAGAACATACTGAGCAAAGTACCTGACCATCTTTTCTCTTGCAGGCATGATCAGAGCCATTGTGACTAAGCCAAGCATCTAAGGACTGAGGTCCTATCTCTTGCCCCAGGTCCTTGCATTGTGGTGTTGAAGAACTCCTAGAGAAGCAGGACGCGGAAGTCTACTGAAGAACCGGCCATCAGTACTGAGGCTGCTATTCAACCAAAGGCCAGACCTCTGGACCCGGAGGAGGGCACTAACTTCTCTGACAGGATATCACGGCTGGACCCTAGGCTGAGACTCACCAAGAAGGCACGGCCCTGCAGAGCCAGGACTTCTAACTCCTGTTTCATTCTGATCATAAATACAGGGCTAGAACTTTGCCAGGAGTTCAGAGATAAATGGCCTCTGCCATCAAGGAATACGGACCAGTGGCGAGACCTAACAAAAAGTAAGTGGACTCATCATATCAGAGAAGACAGTGTTAGAGGAGGTCAAGTAATTTGGCCTAGGTGCCTTGCAGAAGGCTTCTCCAAAGGAAGTGTTATCAGAGCTGGGTTTTGAAGGATAAGCAGGAGTTTGCCATTGGAGAAGAGGAGGAAGGGCATTCCGTACAAAAGGAAGAGTACATGCAAAGGCAAAAGCTACGAGCAAGTATAAACTATCCGGAGACCAGTTAAGAAATTCAGTGGAAAGTCATTATGGGTACATGTCGGGGAGACAAGGCAGCTTCTTGTACACAGCTGGAGATGGGGCACCTGAGACTGTAAAGGCCTATGTCCCATGCTAAGGACTTTGGAGCTGATTCTGTATCTAGACAGCCAGAGGAGGTCTGCAAGCAGGCGGGTGAGATGATCGGACTGGTGTAGGGAGGGCTCTTCCCACTAAACCATATAACAAGCTCTGGCGTGTTTTAATGACAGAATCCACGTCCCTTCAGCCACAGAACATTCTGCAGTCATGTGCTGCCTTCTTTTATGGGAGGGCAAGAGGCAGGCAACAGCTGCTCATCCTGCAGACACATGCCAGCAACACTCATTGTCCAGATCCATCCTCTAGAACCCTCAGTATTGATGTGCCTCACACTGGGGGCCCTTAGCAAAACCAACCTCCAGCACATCACACAGGGAGCGTGGCCAAGGGCCTCACAGAATAACAGAATGAGATGCGCTTCTGCTCCTGGAACCCTTGATGGATCAATCTGTCAGTTTGCAAACTACACATAAATGTGGTGGGGGCAACAGCATCTCAGTCACCAAGGCCCCTGCATAAATAACACCCTATTTAGTCAAGGCGACAAGATAAATCCCTGGGATGCATGATCTTGCAGAAGAAAAACAATCAAGTCACCAGATTTTAAGCTACAAGCTGGGGCATTATGCAACAAAGGTCTCCGTGTCCCTGGAAATTCAGTGCTGCCTGAGAAAGGGACAGTGGGTGAAGAATACACTGTGGTATGCAAACAGACTCTGCTGTCAGCCAACCAGCCCATCAAGAAGATTAATGCAAAACTATGCAACAAATACACCAAAGACCACGTGTGGAAGAAATGGTCCTACGTAATAATAACAAACACTTGTGCTGTGCCTGCTGTACATCCGACTCCATTCTTGGCACTTTATACATATGACACCATTTAATCCTCACAGCAAGGTAGCAACTATTATTATCTGCACTTTACAGATAAGGAAACTGAAGCACAGAGAGATTAAGTAACTTGTTCAACGTCACAGATCTGATAAGCAACACAGTTGGCACTGAAACCCAGTCTTGCAGTCTGGCTTTAGAGTTCAAGGTCTAAGCCGCCATTGCCACAGCAAGTCTTTGGAAGAGACCATTTCTTGAGAGCAGGGACCTGAGTTTGAATCGTACTCATTCTGACTCTCCAGCTCTAAGTCTTTGGGACAGTGGCTTTATCTTTTGAACCTTGATTTTCCCAACTGTGAAATGGAAATATTGGTAGTGCCTCTCTCAGAAGGTCTTGAGCCAATTAAGTGAGTACCTGCCGCACTGTAGAAAGCCAGTAGATGTTTGCTAAATCCCAACCTGAGAAGCCATGCAAAGGGCTCTCTCTGTGGCTCCTTACTCTTCTTTAAGAGCTCACACTTACTAAACATTAACCACTTCCCACAATATGCCTCATTTAACCCACTTCCGGCCCTCTAATCATAGTGGATCAAACCTCCAACTTATGTACCTGCGTGGACTGGTTCTCAGTGTCAAAACCTTCAGATCCTGGAGTATCCCGAGGGGTGGCTCCCTTCCCTAGGGCTCCCACAGGAAAACCCTACGAGACTGCCATCTGGAAACACACTGCACCCCACGATAGGGCCAATCACAGCAGGTCTTTGGGTGATGTTCTGTCACTGAGATGCTCTGAGATTCACTTGAGGGTTTAGCAGGACTGGTTTAAAAGGATGGGCCACTCAACTTCAAAGTCAGCACAAAACCTTTTTTTCTGGAAAGCCAGCATTTCAAGACATTTTCAGTTTGTGAACTTGCAAATATCTCCAGATTTAAAAATAACTTCCTGTTTTCAAAGTCAGCAATATTTATCAAGCCTCTAATAAGTGCCCGCCACCATGCTAGGTACCAGAGCTAAAAGGATTAATAAGATCTGAGCCCTGTCTTCAAAAGCTTATAATCTATTAGGGAGATAAACTCACAACTAGGGTCAATTCTGTGTTTTAAGTGTCTGTGGTATTATGAGCAAAAATACTGGGCTGGACGGGAAGGAGCATTTCAATCTACCTGGGGAGGGGTCAGGTCACGGTAGACTCCACTTCCAGGCGATAAGATATAAAAATCACCAAAGTTCAGTGGTAAAAACATGAAGATATTGGAGCTGCAGAGCACGGAAGTCAGTCTGGACCGAAGGGCGGTGTTTCTGAATGCCTGCAGAGACCCTGTCTGGGAACAGAGCTGGGAAGTGTGGGCAGACGAGGAACCAGACAGTTCTGTGTGACATTTAAGTGCCCTACACCATTCGCAAGGAGTTGTGGAACGTATATACTTATGGTATGTGGTGTGCATAGATATGTACGGTGGTCTGATCCAATTTCTTCTTTCTCCTAATGGAGCATCTCAACACTTACTCCTCCTGGTCCCAGAGTGTTCTTAAGGGTCCTTTCAATACTTTGTAAGTATCAAATCTACCTGCCTTGCAGAGCTGAACAGGACATCTCTGCCCTTGGTCTGCAACCTCCACTTCCCCATCTCCTGACGTCACAGCCACCTTTGATTCCCAGGCTTGCATTAGACTTGTAACATTACAGGTGTGAAAACGAAATGTCAAATTCTTCTCACTCTGTCTCAAAAAGAATGGTGAGGCAGTTAGAAAGGATGAATTCTTCAGACTTAAATGTCTCTCACTTTTCAAAGACTCTTTCTAGAATTCTAAAGACATTGGGCCTCCCCAGGCTCCACTGGCTTTTACAGTTTACACTTCCAGGTTTCAGCTGAAAGGTTGAGATTTTGGGTAAAAGCCCGCAAGAGGACAAAGTAACTAATATTTGCTCAATCCCTATTATGTGCCTGAAACACACTAAATATTTTCAAAATATTTTTGAAATATTGCAAAATCTTGCAAAATATTGCAAAAACTTGCAAAACCCTGCAAGTATGGTGATGTAAGTATCACAGATGACAAAAGTGAGGATCAGAGAGGCTCAGTAACTTACCCAGGATCACACAGCTCAAATGCAGAATTCAAACCAAATTAGTTGACTCCAAAGCATAGGTCCTTTCCACTATACCTTTCCAGCAAAATGACATCTAAATTGGCTAGCAACGTTGCATTCAGAGTGATGCTATGCACACCATCAAACAGATAATCCTTTGTTCAAGGCCCAGTTTAAGACTGTGGCTTAGGCTAATCTTGACTATGATAAGAGCAGCCCAATTACCATCTTTCAGTATTTGTCATGAGAAGGATATTCTAGAACAGGGGTCAGCAAACTACAGCCTGTGTGCCACATCTAGCCTGCTGCCATGCTTGTAAACAAAGCTTTATTTCATGCCACAATGGCCGAGTTGAGTAACTGACAGAGATCACATGGCTTGCAAAACCTAAAATACTTGCTCTCTGTCCCTTCACAGAAAGTCTGCCAAGCCCTGGGCCAGAAACATTATTCCACCATCTACTAAATGCTCTTTGAAGCCAGAAGATAACAAAGAGGTGGGAGGGGGTCAGCATGGTGCAAAACCATCAATAAAACTGTACTGAGTACCGTGATGGTTAATTCTGTTAACTTGACTGGGCTAAGGGATGCCCAGATGGCTGGTAAAACATTATTTCTGGGTGTGTCTGTGAGGGTGTGTCTGGAAGAGACTGAATCAGTAGACGGAGTAAAGAAGATCTGCCTTCACCAAAGTGGACGGGCATCATCCAATGGGTGGAGGGCCCAAACAGAACAGAAAGGTGGAGGAAGGGCGAATTCTCTCTCTCTTCTGGAGCTGGGACATCCATCTTCTTCTGCCCTCAGACATCCAAGCTCCTGCTTCTCAGGCCTTCAGACTCAGACTGAATTACAACACCAGCTTTCCTGGGTCTCCAGCTTGCAGATAGCAGACCACGGGACTTCTCAGCCCCCACAGCCATGTGAGCCAACTCCTATAATAAATCTCCCCTTATACGTGTCTGTATATATCCTCTTGGTTCTGTTTCTCTGGAGAACTCTGACTAATATAAGCCCTGTCGTATGTGGTCAACTACTGTCCTCCAGGCTAGGCACCAGCGAGAGAGATTCACTCACTCAACAAATATTTATTGATGCCTGGGCACCTACTAAGTACAGGCATTGGAGTAGGTGCTGGGGAGGCAGGGACAAACTGCATATGCTGGTGAGATATATACCTCCTAATCTCCACTTCAAAGGATTTACAACTCCACGGGGTATAGGAATTATGACAACACAGTGTAAGGAGGGCAGTAAGAGAGTCTAAAGACACTGGGCTTCCAGGGAAGGAGGCAGGAAGAAGCAACTAGTTCTTTCCAGTGAAGATGAGGAAAGCTTCCCAGGGTGACATCTGAACTGGGTGCTAAAGTATGGTTTGCTGAAGGGAGAAGACGAGGAAAGGTGTACCAAGCAGAGAGGTGAGCTGTGCAAAGGCCCTGAGGTAGGAGATCATTTAGCATGTTAAACCAACAGCACAGAGCCATCCTGTGGCTGGAGCAGACAGGACACTGGAGGGGGAATAGCAGAGGATGAAGTTGCAACACGGTGGGCTAGATGGTGGATTCAGCTCTAACCATACCAATCCTGGTTCAAATCCTGGATATAGGGTCGTGGTCGGTGACTCTCATACCCACCTCTCAGAGTCATTGTGAGGGCCCCAAGTGAAAATGCATTTAAAGCACTTAGCACAGTCCCTGCCACCTCATAAACAATGAATATTCACTTTTATGATTATTATCCTATCAGGGCTGATCAGTAATGTCCTGCAAACTAATTACTCTTCATAAACTGCAACATTCAGCCTCCACTGGTGTTTTAAATGGTAGAGAGAAAAGTATCAGGAAACATGTAGCCAGATGAAACGTATCAACATAGGCTGTAGTGTGTTCCACTTAAGAGAATGGGCTGAGCTCAAACCCAGGCACCACCCCGTCCCTGCTGTGTGGTCTGAGAGAGGTTACCTAACCTCTCTGTGCCTTAGTCTCTTGATCTGTAACCTGGGGGTGATAACAGAAACAACCTCCTAAGGGGGTTGTGAGGATGAGAGAGATGCTCATGTGAAGCACCCAGCACAATGCCTGGCATGTAGGAGTGGTCAATGATGTTGGCTATTAACTTCTTAGCTTCAAGGCCATCGTGACTTGACTGAAAGGAGAATATGTTTTCTTTCTCACACTCTAGGAAGCCCCGATGGAGGAGCAAAAGCTTTTATTCATCTCTTGGCAAAAACACTTTAGATTCCAGACATCTCTAGTAAAAGCAGAGAAAAATATTCACTGGGTGGGAGGCAGCTATGAATCCTGAAACTTCTAAGTTCTGATCCAATTTTAAACACTCTGTCCATCATCTTTCCTGGAAACTCCACTGGGTTAGCAACCAAACAGTACTTCCTAGTCTGCATTTTGTACTTAGGAGTGGGGCAAAAAAAACCCTTGGCATGACCACCAAAAATATGGCAATCAACTAGAAGGGAGAGGAAGGGGCAGGACGAGTCTATGCGGGAAAGACTGCGGAGAGAGAAAGAACTCACCTGTGCCTGAATTCACTGTCTTCTCCTCTCCCCACTTCCCACTGTTGTCGACAACCCTGTAAATGTCGGCTTTGTCCCCAGGCTCGTGAGGAGTTACCCACCTACAGCCCCTTCATTATCTAGGAGCAGAATCAATTAGAATACCGTTTGCTTGTTGGGAGAATATAATCCAGCCTGCTCTTCAAGCACCAACGGCTAAATAAGTGCTTATTTAAAAATCAATCTAAAAGTCAAGGTTTCCTTTTCAAACCCTTTCCATGAAGGAGCAGCAGTGGCAGAATATAGGGATAAAGCTTTGAGTGGTCCCACCTGCCAAACACGCGTATCTCAAGGAGACTGCTACAGATTTTACAGCAGCGCAAATGGAAAACGATTGTGAGAGGCAAACAACGGGTAAGCCAGCCACTCAGAGGGCCCCACCATGAGAGTGAAGACGGCTGGTCCTCCCTGCACCAATTAGCAAGAGATTGCTTCCCAAGCCTGAGAGCCAGGGCTGAGGACGGCAGAGAGAACTGCTTAGTAAGGGGAAAGATGGAAGGAGACGGGAGAAAGATAAATCCTCCAGGACATGCACACACAGGATGGATGCAGATGTGTGTGCGCATGCACGCCCGTGTGAACACACACACACACACACACACCTTCCACCAGGCACAGGTAAAAAGCAAACGAGTCAAGGAAGATCCAGCAGGACTGACTTTGCTCCTGGGAGTCATCTCCCACTTGGGGAGAGCCAGCTCTCTGATTCTTGCTGCCAATCCACACAGATGCCAGGTGAGTAGAAATGCCCTTTTCATGTTCTGACCCAACACAGACGTGAAACTGGGGTCACAAACTCAAATGCCTATAGGAGTCAAGGAGATCACATCAGTAAATGAAGTGGGCCAGAAGTCAACAGTAGGGAGTGGTGGGGACTGCGGCAAACAAGACAGCCCCTAACTGTCTAAAGGAACTGCCACACTCAGCACCAGTGGACTGTGACTGGGTAAGAATGTGGACTCAGTGTTGTTCCATCTTTT